AGACTGTTCATTGCTGGTCTATAGAAACACAAATGATTTTAGTGTGTTGATTTTATATCCTACAACTTTGCTGAATTTATTACTGCTAGTAGCTTTCTTGTGGATTCTTTGGGATTTTCTATAAATATAGGATCATATCATTCTGCAAATAGAGATAGTTTTAATTCTTCCTTTCCAGTTTGGATGCCTTTTATTTCTTTTTCTTACATAATTGCTCTGGCTAGAATTTCTAGTACAATGTTGAATAGGAATGTTGAATGTAGACATCCTTATCTCATTCCTGATCTTGGGGGAAAGCTTTCAGTCTTTCACCATTGCGTATGGTGTTAGCTATGGGTTTTTCACAAAGGCCCTTTATCATGCTGAGGAAGTTAAAGTGAATTTTTAAGATGCTATTCATAGAAATAATGTGAGGCCTGGGATAAGGTTATCATTCTCCAGAGGTGATTTGCTATTGCTTTTGCCAGCTCCTTATGGCCTAAGCAATGAAGGATTACTTTAAGTCAAATTCAGGGTTTGGGATTTCTGGGCTTCTGCAATTAGAGGAAAGGCTAGCTTATTCCTTACTCCCTGGGTGCAGCTATCTGGGGTTCCATCACAAAGCAGGGGACTGGTGTACTGGGTCCTTATTTTTGAGGGCCCTGGACTCAAAATTTATCTTTCTAACCCTGTTTGTCTGCTAAAGCCAGAAATGCAAGTGACCAGGGCAGGAGATTCCGATGGGGTGCACACACCTCTGATTCCTTCTCCTCTTGAACCTTGGCCTAGTGTTTCCGCATTATCTCTATAACTCTTTGATACTTCTAAGAAGATATTTAAAAAAAAAATTTCATCTGGCTTCTTAGTTGTCTTTAGCAGGAGGATCTGCAAGCCTCATGTTCTTGGAAATGGTGGTTCTCTGCTGATTATTACTCTTCCAGAGTTGGAGATTGTGAAATCCAAGTAGAACTTTCTTCTGCCTTATCGTATGAAGGGACAAATTTGTTTTTCATCCATCTATGGAGAGGTATGTTGAAAAGAGCAAGAATCTGAAGAAGGGCACTGTAAGAGAGGCATTTGTGTTATTCATCTTCCTGTTGGTGCAAGCAGGCATACAGCCTACCTTTCAGTAAAAGCTCAGTCACCTTGTCATGCTATGCTTAAGAACAATGGTCTTGGGTGCCTGGGTGGCGCAGTCATTAGGTGTCTGCCTTGGGCTCAGGTCATGATCCCAGGGTCCTGGGATCGAGCCCCGCATCAGGCTCTGCTCTGCAGGAAGCCTGCTTCTCCCTCTCCCACCTCCCCTGCTTGTGTTCCCTCTCTTGCTGTGTCGCTCTCTGTCATATAAATAAATAAGATCTTTAAAAAAAAAAGAACGGTGGTCTCAGTCTATTAGTGTCATCTGATCTAGGAAGAAGAAAAAGTTGCTATAAGTTGGTCCCCGGGGTCTCCAAGAATCTCTCATAATACTAGGACATGTATTATGGCAGCCTTTTATTTATTTTTTTAAAAAAGATTTATTTATTTGTTTGTTTATTTATTTTAGGGGGGAGGGGCAGAGGGAGAGAGAGAATCCCAAGCAGACTCCCCCCTGAGTGAAGAGCTGGATGTGGGGCTTGATCCCAAGACTCTGAGATCTTCACCTGAGCTGAAATCAAGAGTCAGACACTCAACCGACTGAGCTACCCAAGCACCACTAATGCAGCCTTTTTAAAGAGAAAAACACTGAGGAGCAAAGAGGGTCAATGAGTTGTTAGGATCAGAGCTAGGGCTAAGCCAGCTCCCTCCCTCCTTCCTTCCATCCTTCCTTTCTTTATGATTCACTTCTGTGAAACTGACTCACTTTATTTATATCTCCAAATTCCAATTGTTTATCAAAGAATGTCGGATGTTACATTTAATACAACTGAATTTTAAAATTCTCTAAAATACCAAAATGATTTTTAAAATGGCTAAATTACTGTAATTTCTGGATCAGGCTTTCCCTCTGCCCCCAAATCAAATTTCGCAGAGAAAGTAGATCCCTCTTCTAATCCACCTACACCCAAATCCTCTGCTGTGCTGCCTGGAGCTCTCTTTCCATGCCATTTATAAATAGAAGGAATTGATTCACATATATTTTGGAAGCTCATCTAATACATACGTGGGAGTTCACGGGAGGTTTCTACCATTCGGTACTCTCCCCAGGATGCCTCAACTGGCACCACCCTATATTTAATCCACATTTAATTCATTGCTGACAGCTCCCAAACATCTCAAATCTATTCAGTTCTAGGTATTGCCACCACCTCTACCTTCATCCCAAATACTGTCATTTCTTGCCTGGATGACAGCAATAACATGAGAGCTCTACATTCTCTTGGGCATCCCTCAATCCATTTTCTGTAGAGGATGCTTTTAGGCAGAAATGGCTTGAGCAATGGAAAAGGCCCACAGTGACCACCCAGCTGAATACATACAGCCCCATCAGGGGACCCACCCCAAAATATCCATAAGCCTTAAATGACCAATGGACTACGTACAACTAGGCACAGTTACCAAAAAAGGGAAAATTCCATACATCACCATACCTCCTCGCCTTCCCTCCTTAAAAGCAGCTCCCTCCCACTGCCTCCTTGCAGACAGCCTCACCTCTCTGGTCCTGCCCACCACTCCCTTGCCTTGTATTCAATAAGCTTCTACCTCCTTTGTTCTGCCTCAAGCGAGTTCTTCCGGCTTCCACCTAATTGTTGCTCCACATTTGGGGGCCCCCAACCCATCAGACAGATACCCCATTTAGACAGGACCATTTTCTATATTGTGGTCAGAAAGGTATTTCCAAAGCTCCTTATTATCTGATTTTTGGCACCATGTAGAATTTTCCATCACACTGCACCTGGCCACAATTGGCCTTTGAGCAATTATCCGTGCGTTGTCAATCTAACCACCAGACTGAACATTCTTTAGCTTGTTTGCTTTTGCTAATCCTTACATCTTTGGTGTCTGGCACATAGTGGGTGCTTAACATATTTTTTGAATACTACATAATGTCAATAAACTCTACGTAATTTACTTATTCTGCTTATTGTACTGTTTCTCTCCTTCTACCGAGAACACATGGGTTTTGTCTGTTTTGTTCACTTACGGACTTACCCTAAGAGCCTAAGAGTGCCTGGTGCTTAGAAAGTCCTTTGTAAACTATTGTGGGGAATGAATAAATGAATGAAGGAGGGAGGGAGGTGACTCCATTGAGAACCTAAGCTCCTTGCAGTCCAGGCTCTTGCTTTGGTATTGTTCCAAGCCCTTAAAAAGTGCTGCCTGAGAATTTCTAGATAGAGAATGTCTCCAGGAAATTTGAATTTGTACTCCGGTATTCTGAACGATGCCAGCCTGAGGCTCAGCCATGCTATAGATAAAAACTGGAGGAAAAGGCAGAGTTTGGCCACAGGCCAACATTTTGAGGTCAGCTACTTTATCTGTGGAATTCCCCACCCCCAGTTCATCTCTTGGCCATCCCTTTAAATTGGAAAATAAATCCCATCCCTGCTAAGGTGTTGGCTGATAAAGGCTTGAGCTATTGCCCCTTCAAGAGGAATTTGCATTTTAATAGAGGCTCGTCAAGCCCCAAAGGAATCAATATCTCTAATGGTGAAATTTCAAGCACCAGCAACTGAGATGTTCTGGGGCGCTACTCTCCAGTGTTTCGGATCCAGCAGGGGATTCCTTCAGTTCCACCGTGCGACAGTGGAAAAATGGCCTTGGGGAATGACCTACCATTGCCCTTTATTACCATGAACGTTGCCTTTTTATGCCCAATCCCTTCAGATTTCCCAACACTCGTGGGTCTCTTAATAACAGTCTTTTTCAACACCAGTGGTCTTAAAGTTGCCACATCAACAGGGCCACAAAGAGAATTGTGACAATAAAAACTTCCAAGTTTTCTTGGTACCTCAAAGAAGCCGATAATCAATTTAAAACCTTATACTGGCTAAAGGGAGTAGGAATGATTTAATAGGTCCTTAATAACATCGTTCATTTAAATTCGTTTGGTGTAATTTGTTTTAAGCCCAAACTTTTCACTTGTATCAAAAGCCCTGCAAACTAAAGGTGGGTAAGAGACATCCGTTTGTGAACCGGGAATGTTTTAAATGCCGAACCCTCCCGGGCCCAGTTCTCAGCGTATGGCTTGGGAAATTGCGGAACTGCAGAAAAGCGGCAGCTCGATCTTGGAATTCCGCATTCGGTAGAGGCTGCTGCGCGTCACACCTGGGGCAGCGCACTTGGATTTCACCTCCTCTCGGCTCCCCGCCTGGCCGCTCAGTGTCCCCCGGCCCCACCTTCGCCGCGGAAAGCGCCCATCCCGGGCTGGCCCCAGGCTCGGCCGCCGGCTCGGTCCCTGCGGCTCGGCCCGCCCGCGGGCCCCGGCTCCTGCCGACTGACGGTTCAGCCGCGGAGGCTGCTGCCCTCGACCTTGAGGCGCCTGCGGTCCCTACTGCCGTCCCGCACGGGAGGCGAGAGCTGCCGAGGCCGGGCCGCGGGGACCGCACCTGCGCCCACCCGCTCCCTGCTCGCGCTCCGGCCC